GGGGGGGGCTGTTTTACGGCACTCACAACTGCATAAGGTCATATTATGAACGCCAAGGGGTGGATGTCAACAGAGAAGTCCAAACGGGGAACCAGGCTTTCTCTGCTCACTTCTCTAGCCTCAACAGCACAAGGTCTGCTTCGACTATCAAGGCACCCGAGAAATGGCATTTCACAATTGAGTGACAAAGAGGCAAAAGAAGTAGAGGAAAATGACGATAGTAAGGATGAGGAAGGAAAAAGCAGCAGTTCTCAACTAGCAGCTGCTAGGTAAAGCTGAAAACACAAACTAGAGACACAAACCAAACATCAAACTTGCCTTTGTAATTAATTCTTTATTTATTGCAGTAATCATAAATATGTATGTATGCTTTTCCACAGACATTCTTTTTACACTTTGGTGCTGTATTTTACTTGAAAAAAACTATTGTTGTACACAATCATCACAAATTGGTCCCCATTTTTGCTCACGCCCTTGTGCCTCACAAATCGCGACTTCAGTGCTTTCTTGTCGTATCTCCATTTTTTATAAGGGCAGCCTTTTTAATAATAATGAAAACAGTTCCTAACAAAGAGTGAGTTTAAGAAGAAGTCACATTTTCACTGTTAAAATATGAAGATACTACAAGAAAGCACTGATGTCGCGAAATCCTTTCAATGTGCCATGACGTACGGAACTACATACAATGTACATGATATATATGGTCGTATTTATAAAGCCATAACACCTGATTAATGATGTATGTCGGTACGTTGAACAAGTACATGTGCTCGTATTTATAAAGCCATAACACCTGATAAATGATTTATGTTGGTACGTTGAACAAGTACATGTGCTCGTATATTTATAAAGCCATAACACCTTATAAATGATTTATGTTGGTACGTTGAACAAGTACATGTGCTCGTATATTTATAAAGCCATAACACCTTATAAATGATTTATGTTGGTACGTTGAACAAGTACATGTGCTCGTATATTTATAAAGCCATAACACCTGAGAAATGGTGTATGTTCATACGTTGAAGTTGTACTCCTATAAAGCCATAATATAATTATGATATATGTTTAGTACTCTGAGGATGTATTAATTAGTCAAAAACAACATAATAAGTGATATATAATTATGATATATGTTTAGTACTTTGAGGATGTATTAATTAGTCAAAAACAACATAATAAGTGATATATAATTATGATATATGTTTAGTACTTTGAGGATGTATTAATTAGTCAAAAACAACATAAATAAGTGATATATAATTATGTTGGAGCGTTGAAGATGTAATTTATATAAACATAAAGCCATGAAGCCCAATACAT